AAAAAAAACCAAAATAGCCCAGACCAAGATTTTTTTTTTCAGAGGATAACAAACATCTCATACAAAATGAAACAAAGGATTACAAATCGGAGAGCTCACTAGCTCCAATCATTCACCCAACTAATACAACCCCTGACTGATCTAAAGGCAAATGCACAGATTTGATCCCTCTAGAACACAAACAAGACAGACAAAAAACAAAAAACCACAAGAAAAGGAAAACAGCAGTACAAGAACAAACAAACTGAGGCCACCGAACCATAAGGACCTAATCCCAACACACAAGCACTAAAAAACACAAGAAAGCAGATTAACAACATTAAACTCGGTCCATTCTCTAACAGCCTTTCTAACAATGACGGTCTCCGGCATCCACCTTTGAAACCGGTCTCCGGCATCCACCTTTGAAACACCCATAAATTACGGAATTTCTAAAGCCACTACAAAATATATGTAGAAAGTTGAATCCGGGCTTCAGAAATATCTGACTTGTTCATTTCAGCTAAGTTTCACCACCAATTTTTTAAGTTTGAGAAGGCAGCAGTGGAGGAATCCCAAGAAACTGGAGCCAACTTCCATACCAAAGCAGCTCTAGGACATGAAAACAGAGTATGATAAACTGTCTCAACACTGTCACCACAACACTGGCAGATGTCTTCAATCTTCAATCCTCTTGCTCTTAAATTGGCACTGACAGATAGACTATCTGTGAAGCACCTCCAAATGAAATGCCTAAGCTTTCCCTTGACTTGCAAATTCCAGCATCTCTGTCTAGCTTTCCCGTCACACAGAGCAGTAGAACTAGAACTGGGAATGGCCATATTGAGAACCTTATTCATAACTGCAACTGAGTAAGCTGAAGCCAGTGAAAATTTTCCTTTTGAATAAGCCTTCCAAACCCATCTATCCTTTCTGTTGGATTTAAATTTCTAATCTGAAGGATGGCTTTGCAAGATTTAGGAGTAAAGAGCTCCCTCACAAGATCTACATTCTAACTCCTCCCTTGCAACTGAGTAAGCCAAAGCCAGTGAAAATTTTCCTTTTGAATCAGCCTTCCAAACCCATCTATCCTTTTCTGTTGGATTTAAATTTCTAATATGAAGGATGGCTTTGCAAGATTTAGGAGTAAAGAGCTCCCTCACAAGATCTACATTCCAACTCCTCCCATCATCCGACAACAATTCTTTAACCCAAGTCAGAGAGAAATCATTCACTTCAGCTCTTAAAGAAGGCTTACCTATGCTAAGACCAGCAACCCAAGGATGAGATAGGATTTTAGTATTTATGCCATCTTTAACCTCCCTTCTAAACCCATCTTTATGCATATTGAGAACTGTCACCCAGGAGTTCCATAACCAAGAAGCAGCACTACTCTTTTTAGCAACCAGCACACAACCAGAAGGAAAATATCTTTTCTTAAGAACTCTAATCATCAATGAGTTAGGTTTAGTCAAAAGTTTCCACAGTTGCTTTAGAATAAGAGAATCATTGAAGACTTTGACATCTTTAAAGCCCAAACCACCAGAACTCTTAGGGACTGTGACTTTGTTCCATGCCACCCAGTGAATACCCCTCTTCTGATCATCCCCCTCTTCTGATCATTACCCAGTGATTTGAGACGAAAAGGTTTGGTTGGTTAAATCTATTGCACAATACAGACAGTCGTCGTGCACCATACTGTTGGACAGATTGCGCCTTAATAATTGATATATTGCACAATATATTCCTATTATATAATATATTATGTTTTTAATCAAAATGTAATATATAATATTAAATGTTAAAGATGAATTTATATAAATAATATAATTAATTCCAATTAGTTTTTGGTTATTTCAGTTAACGGGCATATTAAACTTACAGATTTATAATAACATAATATGTTGGGCATTAATTAAACTTTTATTATATTACAGATTTTTCTCAAGTATTAAATTGAAATAAATGAAACTTCAAAAACTTGCAAACAAGCCCCTACAAAATATCAAATTCCCAAAAACATAACCCCACAAATCCAACCACATTTCAACCGACCACTTGTGTCCACCTCCGTCGGAGCTCTATCCGATGTTCAGTCGCCGTCATTATGGTCACCTCCGCCTTCTTCATCGGCCGAAAACTAACGCCGCTGCATCCCTACGGCTCTGCGCGAAAAAAATAAATAAATTAATATGCAAAACAACAATTTCTTCACGGGGCATCTCCGCCATTGTGCGGGGGAGGGGAATGACATCGATAGAGATGCGATGCGACGACAGGCAGCGATAAACTGCCGTCGGGTGAGGACGACTACACAGGTGTCGGGATATGTCGACCACGCATCCATGTACATCGCCAAAATCAGAGACTTCTCCAGATCGACGTCGGTAGGGTGGTTTCGGCATCGACGTGGCCGGCGATGGGTGCGGCAGTGGCGCAACTTAGTTCCGGTTGCGGCGTCTCTGTCGTGTTTGTGTGTGTTTAGTGCATGTGATTTGTGAATTTTGTGTGTGTGTGTGTGTGTGTGTGTGTGTGATGGGTAAGTAGGGTAGGTGGTGGGTGATGGGTGTGAGACGATAAATAAATATATATACATATATAGGGGGAGGATCCAATGAGTCCACATCTTAAAATGTGAACGTGAGACCAATTCTCAGCCTTTGGATCTGACTTTTAAATCTACGGTCAGCATCAAAATCAACGATTTCAACTCCCACGCACACCAAAACAGAAAAAATATCTCAAATTTCCTTCTCACTCACGATTCTGTGCGGTTTCCTTCTCAATCTCGATTTCCTTCTCAGTTCGAATTTCGATTTCATCATCTGATTAGGTTAAACCCTCGTTTTTATTGATCCGATAAACATACCCAACTACATATCAAAATATCCAGAGGAAAAAGTCGATCAAAATCATCACATTCGTAAGGTTCATGAGATTTTTCTGCAAATGTCGGCAGAAGCAGCTTCAATGGAGATCGAAGCAACTCCAGTTGCGACATTGATGGAAGAAGGTGTACCGATTTTATTTTTTCCAAATCGTTTCATTCAATTTTAAATAAATACGTGCTTCTGAATTCAACATTCATGTGAATCAAGTTATTTAATCAGATCGATCACATTATATTAGGACATCTGTTCGTGCTTATCTGCAATTCTGATTTGGAGGTAGAATCTCTGTTTTCTAATAAGCATATTACATATGTTGTGGTTTATGAATACATGTGCATGGAGAAATAACTAAATATGCAATATGTATTAATAATTATGCACGTAGAAATTGGGTGTTGCACTGTTATGCTTGCACATTAGATGAATATATAATAAAACAAATTATGCATGAAAGAATAAATAATTATGCATGATTATATCAATAAGTATGCACGTCATAATTGCTTATTCATTCATCCAGATGTTCTGCATTAGAAACATATATGCAATGTCGTATATCTAACTGAGCAACTTTGATGAACTAAGTATGCAAAAGTGTCATGATAAGAATGCACGTTATAATTGCAGTTGTTTTATATTATAACTGTATATGCACCGTTTTAATTATAAAATAGCAACATTGTTGAACTAAAATTGCAAAAGTTATCAAAACATGTTTTTCTTCTTATATTTTGAAGTAGGTACTACTCATGAGGGATCTCAGATTCAATTGGTGATATCGCCAAATTTAACAAAGTATTGGATGCCAATCGTCCAACAAGATATAAAGCCTAAAGTCGGAATGCTGTTTTCAAACATTGATAATGCAAAGGAATTCTACAGAAACTACGGAGCAAATGGTGGATTTGATGTGCGGACTTACACAACAAAACGGTTTAGAAGTGGCGTGATAAATAAACAGTATATGGTTTGCAATAGAGAAGGATTTAAGCCAGTAAACCCACAAAATACTTCAAAGAGCATGTCACAACTACATTCTGAGTCAGGTGTGGTTCCACGACACCGTGTGTCTAAAAGGGTTGGTTGCAAAGCTCGAGCAGTATTTGAGTATAATGGAAATGGGTACAAAATCGCCGAATTTGAAGAAAAACATTGTCACGCCCTGTCATTGGAGACACAATATCTCAATGCAAACCGGCAATTGAATTACGGACACCAGAAATTTATTCTTAATTGTGTTAGAGCAAACATTGGCACAGCTAAAAGCCATAGATTGTACAAGGAGATGCTTGGGGGAGATGCTAACGTTGGTGCTCTCAAAATGGATTTCAAGAACTACAAGAGACAACTTATGACTTACATGTCAGGAGCAGATGCACAACTCATTGTTCAAAAATTCAACCACAAACAAAAAGTATGCCCAGACATGTCATTTGAGTACACAGTTGATGGAAATAACAAATTAAGCAAGATATTCTGGGCAGACCCAATTTCAAGAAAAAATTACCTGCTGTTTGGAGATGTCGTCTCATTTGATGCAACCTACGACACTAACATGTACCTCAACTCTTATTGGTGACTACTGCATATAAAAAAAAATATATCTTATTGTTAAAGTTGTGATAATACATTTGCAATATGTTCAAATTGTTATGATATCTCTTATTGTTATAGTTGTGAGTGTAATGAATTAAATATGCAGCATGGCTGAACTAAATATGCATTTGTTTATAACTTAGAATGCATCAATGTATATATAGAAATAAGTATAGAGATTTTATTTTGACATAGAATAGACTGCATGACTGGACAATTAAGTATGCATGTTTTTATAACTAAATAGGCAACTAGTGTAAATTTATATATTTTCATAACTAACTAATTTTTATTTTATACAGGTACAAGATGGTGTTTGTACCATTTACTGGAATAGACAACCATAAAAAGTGTGTAATATATGCAGCTGGATTGATTGTTAAAGAGGATGAAGAATCCTATATTTGGCTGTTGGAAAATTTCTTGAAGGCTATGGGGCATGAACCATATTACATTGTTACTGACCAAGATCCCGCCATGAAGAAAGCTATCCAGGCAACTTTCAAACATGCGAGACATCGTTTATGCATGTGGCATATTATGGAAAAGGTAAAGAAAAAAGGTTGGTCCCACTTTAGCCAATGATAATACATTCCTCAAGAGATTAAATGACATAGTCTGGGATATTTTTATTACGCCTCCAGAATTTGAAGAAAAGTGGGGAAATTTGATGAATGAGTTTGCCTTGACAGAAAATCATTGGTTTTGTAATCTGTTTAAGATTAGAAAGTCATGGATCCCAGCATACTTTAGAGATGTGCAAATGGGTGGTTTGCTTAGGACAACTTCGAGATCAGAAAGTGCAAATAGTTGGTTTGGAAGTTACATATCTCAACATACAAACTTAGTTGAGTTCTTTATGCATTTTGAAAGTGCAATGGATGCACAAAGGCATGTTTCACGTAAAATGCACCATGAATGTGTGACTACACCTCCTGATTGCAAGACACCATTAGAAATAGAGAAACATGCTGCAAAAGTTTATACTAAGACAGTATTTTCTGAGGTACAAGCAGAAATTGAGGCAGCATGTTTTCGGTGTGTGCCTATCCAAATCCAAAAGGAAAATGATGTAACAAGATATAAAGTTGTGGAAATTGGTCGTGATGATCTTGATTTCATTGTAGAAAAAGGTCCGGATTCTGTACATTGCAGCTGCAAGATGTTTGAACAATTTGGATTATTATGTCGTCACATACTAATGTTCATCAAGGATTTAGACAGAATACCTGATCACTACCTTCTTAACCGTTGGCTGAAAGCTGCATCTTCAGGTAATGAGTTTGAAAATGGAAAATTAGCTGCAGTACATGGCAACAACCATCGAAATCGCTATTTAAACAGATTGTGGTCTGATTTTCACTGTTGTGTATCGCTTGCTGAAGATGATGAGAATAAGTTGGCTAGGTTATCTAGAGTTCTCAATGATGAAAAGAATTACTTTTTGGGTGGACGACAGGATGGGGGTTCAGTCTTAAGCAAAGAAGGAGTTATGGAAGACTTTTGCGGTTCAGTTTCAAATCTGGAAGTAAATATTCTTCCTCCAAAGCAAGCAAATAACAAGGGAAGTGGAAGCACCACAAGAAGCCGATTGTTGTCACAACGAGAAAAGTCAATCAAAGAAAGCCAAAAGCTGAAAAGGCGTTGTGGAAAATGAAGAGAAATAGAAAATCATAATAGTAGAACTTGTACTAAGACCAATGAGAATTCTGATTGTAACACATAGTTATTTGATGTTTTATTATCATATATTATATGATGTATAGAGAAATATTAACTCCTTTAAATTGCTTTCTTTATAAATATGCATCTTAGTTACACTAAATATGCATCTTTTGTACACTATTTAGGCAACGAAATTACAATAAAATAGCACCAATGCTTACAGTAACCATGCAAGAATTTAGTAGATAGTTTTTACATCTCAACTACACTAACTATGCATCTCCTGTACAATATTTATGCAACAAATTTATAATAAAATAGCAGTAGCTGAGTAACCATGTGAGAATTCAGCAAGTGTTTTCATTTTTCCACTAAATATGCATCTTTGGTACACTATTTAGGCAACGAAATTACAATAAAATAGCAACAATGCTTACAGTAACCATGCAAGAATTTAGTAGATAGTTTTTACATCTCAACTACAGTAACTATGCATCTCCTGTACAATATTTATGCAACCAAGTTACAATAAAATAGCAGTAGCTGAGTAACCATGTTAAAATTCAGCAATTATTCACTTTTTCCACTAAATATGCATCTTTTGTACACGGGCGGCGGGGTAGGTCAAAGATTGTGTGGGCGGGTAGGTCAAGGGTTGTGTTGGCCGCCGATTATATAAGGGCTGGCATTAACCCTAGCGACTACCACATATCAAGAACTACGGTATTCTTAACCTCCACAGCAATCATCGAAAAGTAAATCCGCAATCAGAAAATGGCCAACATCAACATTTCAGAGATGCCGACATTTGTCCAACTTATTCGTCAGCCTGATGTTAATGTACACTTCCTGGTAAGCATTCTGAGGAACTAATTTAATTATGTTGTCCTTTTTTTTTTTTTTTGCTTTTTTGTGCTTTTTGTGATTTGAGCTACTTGGTTTTGGTGATGTTTGACATTAATAGGCGCTTCCCTCTGC